AATAAAATAATAAAAAAAATTAAATTTATTTATATAAAATATTGATGAAAAATAATTTTATAAAAAATAATGATAATAATTTAATAATTAAAAATATAAATATATAATAATAATAAAAAAAATAATATTAAATTAATCCTTACCTGTAACCCCGGGGGTCCTCTCCTCAGTCATCTCCGGCCCCTTCACCCCTCCGCCATCATTTCCCCCTCAGGAAAGGCCTCAGGCGGCTCCTCCATCCCTGGGATGCGAAGGATACTCGTTGCCGAGAGCAACCAGACTCCATAACAACCTCCACCTGGCAGCAGCAGCCATAGCAACCAGCCGAGCAGCCGTCCGCATCCCTGCACTCGCGCTTGCGCCGTGTGAACAGTGAGAGAGCGCCCTCTGCTGGGGAGAAGCGGTGCGGCGGCTGTGTTGGAAATTGTCGGACTGATCTTCGGTGGATTATCCGGGAAATATCGAGTTCAGATGAATCTGCTCCGGGCAATGTATCCACAATTATGATTGATTTTTATCTGATTTCTGTAGCAAAATGTCCTCCTAATCTGCCTTCTGAATAGTTTTCACCAAACTGAAAATGGGAACAAAAGAAAAAAACAAAACGCAGAAAGCGTTCCGCGCACGGGCGCTCCGTTGTGTCTCGATATTTCCTCCTATAAGTCGGGGAGCGCAAAGCAAATCCAACCAACACCTTGAGTTAGCAAAGGCAAAACCAAAGTGTGGCAGGAACCGCTCAAAGCAAGCCAAAAGCAGGTCAGAAACCAAGTGAAGTGGGTTAAGGCAAGTCAGAAGTAAGTCAAAAGCCAATCGAAGTAAGTCAAAGAAAGTCAGAAACTAATTGAAGTACATCAAAGTAAGTCAGAAGCCACTTGAAATAAATCAGGCGCAAGTCAAAAGCCAATTGAAGTAAGTCAAAGTAAGTCAAAAGAGAGTCAATGTAAATATGAAGCAAGCCAAAAGCCAATCCAAGTAAGTAAAATCAAGTCAGAAGCCAACCGGAGAAATTCAAAGCAAGTCAAAAGAGAGTCAAAAGACAAACTAAACAAGACAAAGCAAATCAGAGGCAAGTCAAAAGCCAATCAAGGCAAGTCACAGCAGGTCAGAAACCAAGTGAAGTGGGTTAAGGCAAGTCAGAATTAAGTCAAAAGCCAATCGAAGTAAGTCAAAGAAAGTCAGAAACTAATTGCACTACATCAAAGTAAGGCAGAAGCCACTCGAAGTAAATCTGGAGCAAGTCAAAAGCCAATCCAAGTAAGTAAAAGCAAGTCAGAAGGAAGTCAAAAGCCAACTGAAGAAATTGAAAGCAAGTCAAAAGAGAGTCAAATGATAATCAAAGCAAGTCAAAGCAAATCAGAAGCAAGTCAAAACCAAATTAAGTCACAGCAGGTCAGAAACCAAGTGAAGTGGGTTAAGGCAAGTCAGAATTAAGTCAAAAGCCAGTCGAAGTAAGTCAAAGCAAGTAAAAAAGAGATCAACATAAATATGAAGCAAGCCAAAAACCAATCCAAATAAGTTAAAGCAAGTTAGGAGCAAGTCAAAAGACAACCGAAGAAATTCAAAGCAAGTCAAAAGAGAGTCAAAAGACAATCGAAGTAAGTCAATGAAAGTCAGAAACACCTCTTGTATCGTGTCTGCAGTCTCTGGTCATCTCCTGTACTATGTCCGCAGTCTCTGGTCATCTCCTGTACTATGTCTGCAGTCTCTGGTCATCTCCTGTACTGTGTCCGCAGTCTCTGGTCATCTCCTGTACTGTGTCCGCAGTCTCTGGTCATCTCCTGTACTGTGTCCGCAGTCTCTGGTCATCTCCTGTACCGTGTCCGCAGTCTCTGGTCATCTCCTGTACTGTGTCCGCAGTCTCTGGTCATCTCTTGTATCGTGTCTGCAGTCTCTGGTCATCCCCTGTACTATGTCCGCAGTCTCTGACCATCTCCTGTACTATGTCCGCAGTCTCTGGTCATCTCCTGTACTATGTCCGCAGTCTCTGGTCATCTCCTGTACTGTGTCTGCAGTCTCTGGTCATCTCCTGTACTATGTCTGCAGTCTCTGGTCATCTCCTGTACTGTGTCCGCAGTCTCTGGTCATCTCCTGTACTATGTCTGCAGTCTCTGGTCATCTGTACTATGTCCGCAGTCTCTGTTCATCTCCTGTACTATGTCCGCAGTCTCTGGTCATCTCCTGTACTGTGTCCGCAGTCTCTGGTCATCCCCTGTACTGTGTCCGCAGTCTCTGGTCATCCCCTGTAATATGCCTGCAGTCTCTGGTCATCTCCTGTACTGTGTCTGCAGTCTCTGGTCATCTCCTGTACTGTGTCTGCAGTCTCTGGTCATCTCCTGTACTATGTCCGCAGTCTCTGGTCATCTCCTGTACTATGTCCGCAGTCTCTGGTCATCTCCTGTACTATGTCCGCAGTCTCTGGTCATCTCCTGTACTATGTCCGCAGTCTCTGGTCATCTCCTGTACTATGTCCGCAGGCTCTGGTCATCTCCTGTACTGTGTCCACAGTCTCTGGTCATCTCCTGTACTGTGTCCGCAGTCTCTGGTCATCTCTTGTATCGTGTCTGCAGTCTCTGGTCATCCCCTGTACTGTGTCTGCAGTCTCTGGTCATCTCCTGTACTATGTCTGCAGTCTCTGGTCATCCCCTATATACTTGTCTGCAGTCTCTGGTCATCTCCTGTACTGTGTCCGCAGTCTCTGGTCATCTCCTGTACTATGTCTGCAGTCTCTGGTCATCTGTACTATGTCCGCAGTCTCTGGTCATCTCCTGTACTATGTCCGCAGTCTCTGGTCATCTCCTGTACTATGTCCGCAGTCTCTGGTCATCTCCTGTACTGTGTCCGCAGTCTCTGGTCATCTCCTGTACTATGTCTGCAGTCTCTGGTCATCCCCTATACTATGTCTGCAGTCTCTGGTCATCTCCTGTACTGTGTCCGCAGTCTCTGGTCATCTCCTGTACTATGTCTGCAGTCTCTGGTCATCTGTACTATGTCCGCAGTCTCTGGTCATCTCCTGTACTATGTCCGCAGTCTCTGGTCATCTCCTGTACTGTGTCCGCAGTCTCTGGTCATCCCCTGTACTGTGTCTGCAGTCTCTGGTCATCTCCTGTACTATGTCCGCAGTCTCTGGTCATCTCCTGTACTATGTCCGCAGTCTCTGGTCATCTCCTGTACTATGTCCGCAGTCTCTGGTCATCTCCTGTACTATGTCCGCAGTCTCTGGTCATCTCCTGTACTATGTCCGCAGTCTCTGGTCATCTCCTGTACTGTGTCCGCAGTCTCTGGTCATCTCTTGTATCGTGTCTGCAGTCTCTGGTCATCCCCTGTACTGTGTCTGCAGTCTCTGGTCATCTCCTGTACTATGTCTGCAGTCTCTGGTCATCCCTATACTATGTCCGCAGTCTTTGGTCATCTCCTGTACTGTGTCCGCAGTCTCTGGTCATCTCCTGTACTATGTCTGCAGTCTCTGGTCATCTGTACTATGTCCGCAGTCTCTGGTCATCTCCTGTACTGTGTCCGCAGTCTCTGGTCATCTCCTGTACTGTGTCCGCAGTCTCTGGTCATCCCCTGTACTGTGTCCGCAGTCTCTGGTCATCTCCTGTACTATGTCCGCAGTCTCTGGTCATCTCCTGTACTATGTCCGCAGTCTCTGGTCATCTCCTGTACTGTGTCCGCAGTCTCTGGTCATCTCCTGTACTATGTCCGCAGTCTCTGGTCATCCCCTGTACTATGTCCGCAGTCTCTGGTCATCCCCTGTACTATGTCCGCAGTCTCTGGTCATCCCCTGTACTATGTCCGCAGTCTCTGGTCATCTCCTGTACTATGTCCGCAGTCTCTGGTCATCCCTGTACTATGTCCGCAGTCTCTGGTCATCTCCTGTACTGTGTCCGCAGTCTCTGGTCATCCCCTGTACTGTGTCCGCAGTCTCTGGTCATTCCCTGTACTATGTCCGCAGTCTCTGGTCATCCCCTGTACTGTGTCCGCAGTCTCTGGTCATCTCCTGTACTGTGTCCGCAGTCTCTGGTCATCTCTTGTACTGTGTCTGCAGTCTCTCTGGTCATCTCCTGTAGTATGTCTGCAGTCTCTGACCATCTCCTCTAGTCTGTCTGCAGTCCCTGACCATCTCCTGCAGTATGTCCGCAGTCTCTGGTCATCTCCTGTACTGTGTCCGCAGTCTCTGGTCATCTCCTGTACTGTGTCCGCAGTCTCTGGTCATTTTCTGTACAGTGTCCGCAGTCTCCGGTCATCCCCTGTACCGTGTTTGCAGTCTCATCCGGTCATCTCCTGTACTGTGTCCGCAGTCTCTGGTCATCCCCTGTACTATGTCTGCAGTCTCTGGTCATTTTCTGTACAGTGTCCGCAGTCTCCGGTCATCCCCTGTACCGTGTTTGCAGTCTCCGGTCATCTCCTGTACTGTGTCCGCAGTCTCCGGTCATCTCCTGTACTGTGTCTGCAGTCACCGGTCATCTCCTGTACTGTGTCCGCAGTCTCCGGTCATCTCCTGTACTGTGTCTGCAGTCACCGGTCATCTCCTGTACCGTGTCCGCAGTCTCTGGTCATCTCCTGTACCGTGTCCGCAGTCTCTGGTCATCTCCTGTACCGTGTCCGCAGTCTCCGGCCATCTCCTGTACTGTGTCCGCAGTCTCCGGCCATCTCCTGTACTGTGTCTGCAGTCTCTGGTCATCTCCTGTACTGTGTCTGCAGTCTCTGGTCATCTCCTGTACTGTGTCCGCAGTCTCCGGCCATCTCCTGTACTGTGTCTGCAGTCTCTGGTAATCCCCTGTACTGTGTCCGCAGTCTCTGGTCATCTCCTGTACTGTCCGCAGTCTCTGGTCATCTCCTGTACTGTGTCCGCAGTCTCTGGTCATCTCCTGTACTATGTCCGCAGTCTCTGGTCATCCCCTGTACTATGTCCGCAGTCTCTGGTCATCTCCTGTACTGTGTCCGCAGTCTCTGGTCATCTCCTGTACTGTGTTCGCAGTCTCTGACCATCTCCTGTACTGTGTCCGCAGTCTCTGGTCATCTCCTGTACTGTGTCCGCAGTCTCTGGTCATCTCCTGTACTGTGTTCGCAGTCTCTGACCATCTCCTGTACTGTGTTCGCAGTCTCTGACCATCTCCTGTACTGTGTCCGCAGTCTATGGTCATCTCCTGTACTGTGTCCGCAGTCTCTGGTCATCTCCTGTAGTGTGTCCGCAGTCTCTGGTCATCTCCTGTAGTGTGTCTGCAGTCTCTGACCATCTCCTGTACTATGTCTGCAGTCTCTGACCATCTCCTGCACTATGTCTGCAGTCTCTGACCATCTCCTGTGCTATGTCTGCAGTCTTTGACCATCTCCTGTACTATGTCTGCAGTCTCTGACCATCTCCTGTAGTATGTCTGCAGTCTCTGACCATCTCCTGTGCTATGTCTGCAGTCTCTGACCATCCCCTGTACTATGTCTGCAGTCTCTGACCATCTCCTGTAGTATGTCTGCAGTCTCTGACCATCTCTCTGTACTATGTCTGCAGTCTCTGACCATCTCTTGTATCATGTCCACAGTCTCTGACCATCTATGCAATCTGGCTTGCCTATAAATAGACTTAACCGAATCCGTGGAACGCGTGTGTTCAGCCATTGTCTCGTGCCGGCAGATATATTCACTTTATGGTGGAGTTGGACGTGTCATATCATCTACAATGTTTGTATGTCCACGGTACATGGATGGGATCGATTTATCGATCGATTCAAAAGTGTATGGTTCTGTCGCACGTGGAGTCCCATTGACAAAAATTGCACATAGATTTTAATTTTTTGTAAATGTGTGTGTGAACCGGCCCTATAGGCTCCACCCATTACCACCCCACCACCAAATCCACACTAAATTACGCTGCTTGTTTCAAACAAACAGAAGTGAGGGGGAAAAGGATGTTAATAAGGAGGCAGAAAAACACAATAAGAAATGTTTTCATGAAAAATAGATAAGAGGGCATTAGGTAGTGGATGTATATGGATTACAATTGAAGAAAAAGGCACTTTAAAGGCAATTTTATATGTTAAAAAAAAATCCAAACAATATATTTAAAAAAAATATATTTTTAAAAATATTCTTCAGATTTTTTTTTAACATATAAAAAAGGCATTTAACATATTTTTACATATATTTTTGAAATAAAAATGCATTTCAACATGCAGTGTATTTGAAGTCTACAATTTTCGCCATATTCAATATATAGTTCAGTAAATATATATATTTATATTACACTGCATGTTGAAATGCATTTTTATTTCCAAAATATATGAAAAATATTTTTAAAAAATACATTTTCAAATATCCTGTATGTCTTTAAAAATAGAAATTACAATTTTGGAACGCATTTACAAATATATGTAAAAATGGCTTTTTTTAAAAAATGACTATATTTAAAAAAATATAATTTTTAAAAATATTTATATTTTATTTAACATATTAAGGAGTCATTTTAACGTATATTTGTCCATTATAATGTATATATACACACACACACATATATATACATACATATACACATACATATATATACATACATACACACACTGTATGTTGTGTGTTTATATATATATATATATATATATATATATATATATATATTAACCCCTCACCTACAGGGCACTTATACCCCCTTCCTGCCCAGGCCAGTTTTTCAGCTTTCAGTGCTGTCACACTTTGAATGACAATTGTGCAGTCATGCAACACTGTACCCATATGAAATTTTTCTATTTTTTTTGTGACAGATAGAGCTTTATTTTGGTGCTATTTAATCAGCTCTGGGTTTTTTTATTCTTTCTTAAACAAACCAATAACCACGAAAATGTTGAAAAAAAAAATTTTTTTCTTAGTTTTTGTTATAAAATTTTGTAAATAAGTGATTTTTCTCCTTCACTGATGTGCGCTAATGAGGCTGCAGTGATGGGCACTGATAGGTGGAACTGATGAGCACTGAGGAGGAGGCACAGGTAGGTTGCACTAATGGGCATTGACAGTCATCACTGATGGCACTGAAAGGCAGCACTGATAGGAGGCACTGACGCACACTGATTGGCATTGATAGGTGGCACTGACTGGCACTGATATGTGGCACTGATGGACACTGACAGGTGGCACTGCTGGGGCTACACAGATCATCAGGGCAAACTGATCATCAGTGCCCTGATGATCAGTGTAGATGTCCCCTCCGAGGAAATCTGATTACCGGCTCTCCTCTCCTGTCAGCGTGACAGCTCGTGGGGAGAGAAATGCTGATAACTGGCATTTCCCTGTTTACATGTGATCAGCTGTGATTGGACACAGCTGATCACATGACCGAAGCCGACATCTTCGGCTTTTTCTGTAGATCGGTGATCCGCTGTGTCCGAGGGACACACGCACCACGATCGCCGCGCTGCGCGCTCCCGGAGCCGCACATGCGCACTGAGAATGAGAGGACGTCATATGACTCCTCCCAGAACGAGAGAACTGCCTTGCGCCCGTCATTGGACTATATGACGGGCAGGAGACGGTTAAAATTACTTTTTCTATGTTAAAAAAAATCTGAAGAATATATTTAAAAAAAAATTATATATTTTTAAAAATATTCTTCAGATTTTTTTTAACATATAAAAAAAGTTAACATATATTTGTAAATGCATTCCAAAAATGTAGATTATATTAATATTTATTTATTTATGGTACTTATATAGCGTCATCAATTTACGCTGAGCTTTACATATATATATTGAACATTCACATCATCCCCGCCCCCGAGGGTGTACAATCTAATGTCCCTAACTCACATTCATACATACACATATTAGGGCCAATTTATACAGGAGTCAATTAACCTACCAGCATGTCTTTGGAGTGTGGGAGGAAACCAGAGTACCCGGAGGAAACCCACGTAGGCACAGGGAGAACATGCAACATTATATACACACACATATACATATATACACACACACATACATACACACACACGCATGTTGAAAATGCGTTTTTATTACAAAATATATGAAAAGTATTTTTAAAAGTACATTTTCATATATACTGTATGTCTTTAAAAATACAAATCTACATTTTTGGAACGCATTTACAAATATATGTTAAAATTACTTTTTTATGTTAAAAAAAATCTGAAGAGTAATTTTAAAAAATATTCTTCAGATTTGTATTTTTAACCACTTGCCTACCAGGCACTTATACCCCCTTCTTTACCAGGCCAATTTTCAGCTTTCAGCGCTGTCGCACTTTGATTGACAATTGCGCGGTCATGCAACACTGTACCCATATGAAATTTTTATAATTTTTTTTCTCACAAATAGAGCTTTCTTTTGGTGGTATTTAACCTTTGCGCTATAAACAAAAAAATGCAAAAAAATTGAAAAAAAAAGTTTCTTTGTTTCTATTATAAAATTTTGCAAACAGGTAATTTTTCTCCTTCACTGATGTGCGTTGATGAGGCAGCACTGATGGGCACTGTTAGGCGGCACTGATAGGCAACACTGAAGGGCACTGATAGGCAGCACAAATGAGGTGTCACGGATAGGCGGCATTGATAGGTGGCACTGATGATGGGTACTGATAGACAGTACTGATAGGTGGCACTGACTGGCATCACTGCTGGGCACTGACTGGCGCAACTGCTGGGCACTGACTGGTGGCACTGACTGGCAGCACTGCTGGGCTGTACTGGTGGGCTCAGGTAGATGGCACTGCTGGGCACAGGTGGGCAGAACTGGTGGGTGGCACTGCTGGGCACCGAACAGGGCACTGATCATCAGTGCCCTGATTATCGGTGCCGATCCCTGCTCTGAGAACTGCCGGTTCTCGGCAGTACTTTCCTCACGCTCTGACAGCGTGAGGAAAGTGCAGCCGAGAACCGGCAATTGCATTTCCTGGTGATCAGCGTGTCATTGGACATGGCTGATCACATGGTAGAAGGCCGCTGTGATTGGCCTTTTACCACATCACGTGATCAGCTGTGTCCATAGGACACAGCGATCACGGAGAAGGCCGGGGGCGCGCAGGAGAGTGCGTTCTGGGAGGACGTCATATGATGTCATATGCCCTCCCAGAACTGGCCGGCTGCAGTGTAGCCATTATTCGGCTATCTGTGGTTGGCAAGTAGACATACAGTATATTTGAAATTGTATTTTTAAAAAATATATGTTTCATATATTTTGTAATAAAAACGCTTTTCAACATGCTCGGGGTCCTTGGTTTCCAAATGAGATGCAAAAGTTGCCCTCATCAGAAAAGAGGACTTTGGACCACTGAGCAACGGACCAGGTCTGTTTTTCTTTAGCCCAGGTAAGACGCTTCTGACGTTGTTTGTTGTTCAGGAGCGGCTTGACAAGAGGAATACGACGTTTGAAGCCCATGTCCAGGATCCCTCTGTGTGTGGTGGCTCTTGATGCACTGACTCCAGCCTCAGTCCACTCCTTGTGAAAGTCCCCAACACTTTTGAATGGCCTTTTCCTGACAATGCTCTCCAGGCTGCGGTCATCCCTGCTGCTTGTGAACCTTTTTCTTCCACACTTTTCCCTTCCACATAACTTTCTATTAATGTGCTTTGATACAGCACTTTGGGAACATCCAACTTCTTCTGCAATTCCCTTTTGAGGCTTTCCCTCCTTATGGAGGGTGTCAGTGATGGTGTCAGGTCAGCAGTCTTTCCCATGATTGTGATTCCTACTGAACCAGACTGAGAGACCATTTAAAGGCTCAGGAACCCTTTGCAGGTGTTATGGCTTAATTATCTGATTAGAGTGGGACACTTTGAGCCGAGAATATTGCACCTTTTCACAATATTCTCATTTTCTGAGATTGTGGATTTGGGGTTTTCATGAGCTGTAAGCCATAATCATCACAATGATGACAAATCCCGGCTTGAACTATCTTACTTTGCATGTAATGAGTCTCATATATTAGTTTCACCTTTTTAAGTTGCTGCACTGAAATAAATGAACTTTTGCACCATATTCTAATTTTATGAGTTTCACCTGTATATGTGTGTGTATGTACAGTTGTGTTCAAAATAATAGCAGTGTGTTGAAAAAAGTGAATAAAGCTGAAAATCCTTCTAATAGCTTTTATTTCCATCCACGCAAATGCATTGGGAACAACGACACATTCTATTCCAAATCACAACATGAAGAAAAATACATCAAATTTGTGTTGTTCCTCTAAAAAAAATTGAAAAGTGAATATTAGACGGTCAAAATGGCCGTGTTTGTATTCTTCTTTACAAACTCAAACATTCACTATATAAACTGAGAAATGTTTGAAGATTTTGCTTTCCTTTGAATGACTTCATGAATATTTGGTTGTAGTCGCACTGTTTCTGAGAACTGCTGTACATCTGTGTTGCATGGAGTCCCCCAACTTCTGGCCCCTGTGATCAGGTATTCCAGCCCAGGATGATTAAACCACATTCCACAGTTCTTCTCTATTTCTTGGTTTTTCCTCAGAAACTGCATTTTTGATGTCACCCCACAAGTTTTCTATTGGATGAAGATCCGGGGATTGGGCTGGCCACTCCATAACGTCCATCTTGTTGGTCTGGAACCAAGATGTTGCACATTTACTGGTGTGTTTGGGGTCGTTGTCTTGTTGGAACACCCATTTCAAGGGCATTTCCTCTTCAGCATAAGGCAGCATGACCTCTTCAAGTATTCTGATGTATTCACACTGATCCAGATGATCCCTGGTATGCAATAAATAGGCCCAAACACCGTAGTATGAGAAACATCCCCATATCATGATGCTTGCACCACCATGCTTCACGGTCTTGACAGTGTACTGTGGCTTAGAATTCAGTGTTTGGGGGTCGTCTGACAAACTGTCTCCGCCCACTAGACCCAAAAAGAACAATCTTACTTTCATCAGTCCACAAAATGTTTGCGCCATTTTTCTCTTTAGGCCAGTCAATGTGCTCTTTGGCAGATTGTAACCTCTTCAGCACACGTCTTTTTTCCAACAGTGGGACTTTGCGGGGACTTCTTGCAGATAGCTTGGCTTCACATCGGCGTCTTCTAATTGTAACAGTCCTCACAGGGAACGTCCACACCTTCTTTCATCTTCCTGGAGCTGATTGTTGGCTGAGTCCGCCCCAATTTGGCTATTCTTCTATCCATTCCCATGGTAGTTTTTCGCTTTCTTCCACGTCTTTCAGGTTTTGGTTGCCATTTTAAAGCATTTGCCATCATTTTAGCTGAGCAGCCCGATCATTTTCTGCACTTCTTTATATGTTTTCCCCTCTCCAATCAACTTTTAATCAAGGTACGCTGTTCTTCTGAACAATGTCTGGAACGACCCATTTTCCTCAGAATTTCAGAGAGAAATGCACTGTAACCAGCATGTCCAAACATTTGCTGCCTTCCTTCCTTAAATAAGGGCAATAATTGCCACCTGTTTCTCAAAGAATGAATGACCTCACTAATAGAACTCCACACTGCTATTATTTTGAACACGCCCCTTTCAATGAGTGATTCAATGACACAGAATCAGCAGCATGCATGCATGTCATGACTGTTGGGTCTCTTGGATTTCTATTACTCGACTACATCTGCTAGGAAATTATTTGCCATGTAGAAATATCATTTTCTACCAAAAAAACAGTGATTGATCCGGTTAGTGATGTCTGACTGCTATTATTTTGAATACAACTGTATATATATGAATATGGCCAAAATTGTAGTATTTCAAGAATATGTCAATATATATTTTGGAAAGAATATTTTTAAATTTATATTTTTCTTCCATGTGGGGTTTTCAAAAGTTTTGGGTTTATACATGTACGGTGGGCGAAATAATTGTATAGTGTTGCGCTGAGTGAAGTAAAAATTAAATCAAAAATTCTCAGAAATAATATACAATGGATATATATCCAATAAAGAACAAGAAAAAAAAAAAAGTGCTCAATACTGAACCATTACCGGAAATTAAAGTGCAAAGAAGCGGATATATATAGAACAGTCCCCTCATTCTGTCCCCTTATTCATTCGAGCGCTCAGGCACTGCCCGAGGGCCCAGGGTCAGTAGGGGGCCCCATGAAATGCCCCTGGTACCTTTCATTGGCTTTTTTGGGTGTGCTTGAGTGTGGGCAGGGACACAGGAGCCCATGATCCTGTATTGGCCGGGGGCCCCATTGAGTTGTCAGTCCGCCCCTGGTGATGAGTAGTTGAAAATCTTCATTCCGATATAACCACCACCATTTTATCAGTAAAAACAATCGGCCGATTCGCCCATCATTGCCAGGAAAATCGTCCGCTATTTTTTTCCAACTTTACAGATAAAAATTTTTTTTGCCAAAATCCTGAAAAACGGCCACCAATTAACCCACTAACGGTACGAAAATCAGTCGATTTTTGAACCCGTCTATGGCCGGCATAAGAGCAGAAACCAAGCCTCACTCGAGGACAGAATCTCAATCATGACACCAGAAACGGGAAGAGACTCGGACGTGAGGACTAGATGAACCTAAATCGGTTTATATCCTTGGATGGATAAAGAAAAAAAAAAAAAAAAGTGCCGATTCCAAAATTGGGTGTATTGTAAAATGAATCCGATTGGTATAGACCAGAGGCGAGGACTGACCATTTGGAAACTCGGGCACGGATAGGCGGCACTGATAGGCGGGATCAAGCACTGATAGGCAGCACTGATAGGCAGCACTGATAGGCAGCACTGATAGGCAGCACTGATAGGCAGCACTGATAGGCAGCACTGATAGGCAGCACTGATAGGCAGCACTGATAGGCAGCACTGAGGCAGCACTGATAGGCAGCACTGATAGGCAGCACTAATGAGGTGTCACGGATAGGCAGCACTGATAGGCAGCACTAATGAGGTGTCACGGATAGGCAGCACTATCAGCAAAAGATATAAATGTCATTAGGGTACAATGCTGCATGACTGACCAACTGCCAGGTAGTGATGTTTTAGAACAGTAGAAAAACACATATGATTTTTAAAAATTTTCGGTCTTTTTTTCAATTCAGTAGAATAAATAGTTTTTTTTTAAATTTTCAGTCTTTTATCATTTATATGATATTTTTTTTTTTATCATGTAAATGATAAAAGACTGAAAATTTTTGAAAAAAAAACCAAAAACATAATTTTCTACCGAATTGAAAAAAAAGACTGAAACTTTTAAACAGTGGTGATTGAATACCACCAAAAAAAGCTGTGAGTGAAAAAAAAAAAAAAAAAAAAAAAAAAAAAAAAAGAAGATATAAATGTCACTAGGGTAGTGTTGCATGACCGAGCAATTACCAGGTAAAGTAGTGCTGAATAGCAAAAAAAAAAAAAAATAAATATATAATATATAAATAAAATTTATTAATAAAAAAAATAAATAAAAAAAAAAAAAACACACACAAAAAAAAATAATAAATAAATAATGCCCTAATCATGAAGGGGGGTAAAATCTTCCGGACGTCAAGTGGATACAATGAAGCACACAACCCGATGCATTTTTTATTTAATAAGCATTTAATAGAATTTAAAAAATAAACTTTACACTCTCAATCAGTGTGCAGGAGAACAGGGATGAATATGACCAAAACCAAAGAATTCCTCCATTCCGCGTTCACTCCACTCTCACAGGTCAGGGAATAAGTTAGCAGTTGGAAGCAGCACACAGGAAGAAACCTGAAAGATCGAAGAAGAAGAGGTGTCATTCGTCATTGTTACTGCAGGAAATATACACATCGCTACACTGCCCCCTACAGGTATGTATGAAAAGGACGGACCATCATGGATCATCATTGGTGTCAGTGGGAGAAATATACACGAATGTTCCCCCTGTCTGTGGCCTTTTACTCGCCTTTTACCAAGGACACTATTCCTTCCACTGACACCAAGCAAGGAGCAATATTTCTTTAACTGACACAAAATAAGGCAACTACTGTTCACACTGACACCAACAATGGGGCACTATTCCTCCCACTGACACCAATGATGGGGCACTATTCCTCCCACCGACACCAACGACGGGACACCAACGACGGGGCACTATTCCTCCCACCGACACCCAACGACGGGGCACTATTCCTCCCACCGACACCAACGACGGGGCACTATTCCTCCCACCGACACCAACGACGGGGCACTATTCCTCCCACCGACACCAACGACGGGGCACTATTCCTCCCACCGACACCAACGACGGGGCACTATTCCTCCCACCGACACCAACGACGGGGCACTATTCCTCCCACTGACACCAACGACGGGGCACTATTCCTCCCACTGATACCAATGATGGGGCACTATTCTGTATTTGTGGGGGAAAAAAGGACAAACTTAATTTATGTGCATTGTTGCATGACTGCAAAATTGTCAG